AGGATATCTGGTTTCACATGGAATCAGTTTATGCTAGTTTTGAGAACATTTCTTTCCGGGATTACTTTACAACTATGCCTCAATCACTAGTTGGGGTCAGCTATATGAATCGTCACTATCCATTTTGCTGCGTTTGAACTCGTTTCTTTCCAATATTCAGAAAATGCCACTTTCTGGGGTTACTTTAGCTCTTATAAAAATTAAGAAGTTTTTAAGCTTTGCTGTTACTGATACAATCACAGTTAAGGAGCTTGCATTAGCAAATAGATTAGCGTCAATGCACTTGGACTCCATGCCGTTGGTCCTCTGTGATTTAGATGAATTGAACTTTCGTGTTAGTAGTAGGCCTTATTTTTTTTTGATTGGTAATAGTAGGCCTCAGTTTAGGCTATCGGACAGCTATGAGTGCCGGAATCCTCATGGTTGTTAGTTCGATGGATGCTTAGGCTGACAGATTCAGCTATCAAGCATTGCATGTTAATGGTTTCAAATATTATGAGTTCCTTCGCTGTCTGGATAATTTATGTGCATTTCTAAATCTTTAAATCTTTCAAAAAGTAAGAATGTTTGTAGTTGTTAGAAACTTTAGGTTTCATTATTTTGTGGAGCCTATTGCTCGTCATAGTGCGAATGTCAAACTCAATTTACAGATAGAAGATCGTGGTAATCCACATATCTGCCATTTGTACTGTTTGTTTGGAATCTTTCCCCTTCCAAAATGGAATCCAAGATAATGCATTTTGTTTGTTTGGCTGGGTTTTGTTCTTAGTTTCTGTGCTTTTGTGTTTGAGTCGCTTTGTTGTTTGGAGCGGATTAGTTGTTATGCTTGGTTGGAAAAGTTGTTCTGATTATCTCTGCGCATATATGCTCTTTCATCACTTGTTTCTTTTCAATGAACAGTGATGTTCAATCAAACGCATTCCAAGCAGTTGATCAGTTTTTGCAATTAGTCAAGCAGCACCATGAGAAGGTATTAATGTATTCTTTTAAAAAATATTCACTTGCACATTAGATGTCCCAGATTTAGCCTTGAGTTGAAAAGCTTATTTTTGTGATGTTGTGTTGCAGCTTGAGAAAAAATGTTTTCACCTTTTCATAAAACTTGGGGATTATTTGGCATAACTGAAAAGAGAAGGAAAAAAGAAGAAGCTTCTTTTCCACTTTGACATTATAAAACTTGGATGATATGTGGCATGACTATACTCTAGTCCTGTTAAAAGAAGCTGTGTCTTTCTTTCTTGTTAATGACCATAAACTGATGAGCAGGAAGTAGAGTTCTGCCACTTCTTGGGTGCCCTTCCCGGCTTATTAACTTTAAAATTAAGTAGCTTCTCATGAATTTTTTCGTATTTCGGAATACTCAACACGCATATTTTTATGTCGGATTAGAAATGAACATTTACGCCCTTCGCTGTATTTTGTATAAAATGTAGTGATGGACTGATATTGGAGCCATTAAGAATGAAGGATATACTTTTGTCACGTAAATATATTAACATTCCAAAAGTTCTCATACAATTTTCTGGCTTTCAGCATGCCACGTCATTCTTATAAGAGCATGCCTTTAAGGGTAAAATGGAAACATAAAAAATTAAAGAGTACCCAATTGTGGAAATGTGTCAATCTTTTCAGAACAGACCAAAAAAGAAAGCGTCATATAAAATGGAACGTAGGCCGGAGGGAGCATGTACTTTTTCTGTTCATAGTTCACAACTGGGTGCTCGCCCTCTTTTATATATATGTATATATAAGAAAGATTGTTGAGACAGATAAAATGTATTTACATACCAAACGTTTCCTTAAAAATTTTGTGGTATTCGGCATGTCATGTCATACCTATAACTTATTTATGAATAAGTATGACGTGTGCTCTTAGTTGTGCTCTTTTTCTCTCCCCCTGTGCATGTTCTGCATGTTCTGCTCTCATTTGTGTTTTGTCCTCTCTAGACTAGCACTGGAGATACCAGCACTGCAAGCATGGGAACTTCTTCAATGCCTGGAAATGCGAGTTTGCTAGGGTATATAAAGATTTGAGCAATTTTTATGTGGTCATTTTGCTGCTATTGTAAAATAATTGCTATATGTTGCATTTCAGCAAGCAGCTGCAACATAATCATTTTTATCGTCAGTTCCATTCGTTCGCTAAGCTTTATCTGAATTTGACTATAGTTATCTCAGAATTTCCGTTAACTTGTCATGATGTGAAAATTTAAAGGGTGTTAAAAAGCATTAAAATATTGCCATCTTTGAATTAATACTAAAGAATATTGTGAAGAATTGTTGAAGTATGCATACATTGGGGAGCTATATCGTTTACCCTTTTCATTCTTCAGTTTTTCAAATTCCTGTAAGTTTTCAATAATATGGCCTGAATCTCATATTGCAGTTGGGCTATGAGCTCGTTGACTCTTAAAGGCGGTAAATCCTCTGAGCAGAGTCCAAATGCTCCAGCTAGTTCAACTGTGCCTCTTACTTCTGCAGCCCCCGATGCTAGCTCAAGTACGCATCTTACAAATTCATTTATTTTGCATTTTGCTTCGGGAGTTGGTTGATAATGAATGATTAAGTGTTGCTTTGTTCAAATATTAATCATATGCCTACGAGGATGAACTCATCTCCAGCTTGATACTGGTTTTCTCCAAATAATAAACATTTGCAGATAGTTCGGGTATAACACCAATTCATGTAAGTTCTAGCAACGATATGACAGATCAGCCTGTGCCATTATCCCCAACATCAACTGATGGATGGGGAGAACTTGAAAATGGAATTCATGAAGGTCATGACAATGATAAAGATGGTTGGGATGACATCGAGCCCCACGAAGAGCCAAAACCGTCTCCCTCTCTAGCAAATATCCAAGCCGCTCAAAGACGTCCCGTCTCTCAACCAAAATCGCAAGGTAATGACGATGTCTATTAAACTATGTGTTCCAGTAGACGCTTACGTTCCTGGACAGTAAGCAGGGAAGTCACGGTTCATTTACATGTATAACTGAAAGATACACACACATATACAAACAACAACGACCCATTAAAATCTCACAAAGTGGGGTCTGGGGAGGGTAGTATGTAGACCTTACCCCTACCCGGATGGGGCAGAGAGGCTATTTCCAATAGACCTTCGGCTCAGGAAGATCACACACATATACAAAGTAAATTCAAAATTGGATAAGGGTGATGAACAAGGAGATTCTATCACTGCTAGAAGTCTTCATTGTATCATCAGTGATAATGCCCATCAGAGACTCACATTTAACTAAATCTCGAAATCCTCTTTTCCCCTTCAAAAAAATGGCAATCCATTACAAGTAACAAAACTAGGAAAAAACTTGAAACAAATTACTTATGTGGCTATTAGATCAGTCTAATTTCTATATTGTTTTTCTTTCCTGAGTCTTTATGATATTTGCTTCAGTTACAGGTTTGCGAGGAAGCATCACACCAAAGGTAACCAAAAATGAAGACGATGACCTGTGGGGATCTGTACCTGCTTCTGCTCCTGCTCCAAGAACTAGTTCTCAGCCATCAAGCTCTAGAGCAAGTAGACCAGTTGATGATGATGACCCGTGGGGTGCCATAGCTGCCCCAGCTCCTTCATCGAAGCCTTTGAATGTGAAAAAAGGCGGAGCACTTGATGATAATGATCCTTGGGCTGCTATTGCAGCTCCTGTACCAACTGCTAAAGCCAGACCTTCAATTGGCCGAGGCCGAGGAAACAAACCTACGGTTCCTAAATTGGGTGCCCAAAGAATAAACCGAACATCATCTGGAATGTAGATTACAAAATCAAAACTAGGCTCAACACTGAATGAAGAGTTCACGAGTCCTGTAAATTTTACCCTCATCAGGTGAGTAAAAGTTGTAACTGAAATATAATTGAGAGTTGTATTTATTTTTTCCCTTAGTTTGAACACTGTATTTTTTACGCAAATTCATTGAGGCTCGCGGAAGTCATTACATGCGATTTCAATTTGAATTAGCAAAATTTTGTATTTTTTTATCAGTTGCAACGCAAAGTAAGAGTGTATTAACAATATACTCGAACAATATCAAGTTATCAACTAAATGTTAAAGTACCTTAAGTTGGGGTGCTCATTGTACATTCAGTAAATATGAACTTTCTGAAAAGTTAGACTTTAGGGTTTAGACAGGGGAAGAAAAGGATGTAAACAATGCGTCAACTTCTACATATTTTTTTATCAATTCCAACTTAAAATATTCCCTTTTTCAACTTCAACCATGTATTGACAAAATGGCTGCTAAAACTTATGTGTGAATGAACGATGTATTCTACTAACCAAAGCTTATTGCAATTTTTAATTTCCAATTCAAACTCAACCACCCATGTGAATGCTATTCTTATTATTTAGTCCAATTGGAATAGACTGTTTTTAACGGATAAAATAAAAACCAGGCTAGCCAAAATTGCAAAATGTTAAAATAGCTCAACTACTACTTGCAAAAGAACAAGTCTCACATTTTATTTTGCAGTTCAACTAGGAACAATATTCCTACCAGCTAAGCATTTGATAACTGCCCCCTCCC